CAAGTGTAATGGTAGAGCGGGTTTAAAATTATTCGGGAATAGGAAAAGTTTTCGAAAACCGAATTATATCCTTCCTTCGAGTAAAAGATTTGAAGAAGATGTACTTGCATACCAAATGGGCGAAAGAATGAATAATTGTATGCATGTTTTCCACGGAATATAATTGGACTTTTAGGGGCATCGAAAATCAGTGAGAATAATTCATGCTACTTAAGTAGTCATTTTTACAGAGTGTAGCTTTTGCATGCAGCCGGAAGGAAGTTCTTTCGAAAGCCGACATCCTGAGGTGACTGAAATATTATAGAATTCTTTTGCAGGCTGGCTACGTTTACAATTCTGCTTAATTAGTTTTTTTTCGAATCGAATACGCATTTCCGAAATTTTGGTCGACATTTCATGAGTTAGCCCACCTACTGTATTTACTGAACTACGATGAGTTCGCATAAAACCCCAACTACTGTCCTTCATGGGGCGGCTGTGATGACGCGCAGATCTGCACGCTGCGTCCGGACGTATGGGGCATTTCTGGCGTACTCGCATCTATCACAACGCACTGAGAGTTTCGGCTTGGAAGATCATTAACTACCTGGTCCTTATCAGAATCCAGAATCGGGCTTAAATGGCCCCCACTCAATTTGACCTCTTTTTAGCATTTTCATACACGCTAGATCCGCACAGCCTTTAAGGAAACCCCTATGAACGTAGTGGAAACCAGGTGGTGTATGTGCCGCACCTAAACTGGATGTCTAGCTCTATCAGCGCCAGACGCCGGTCGCCTGTCATCGGAGAAGGATGAGTGACGGAGTGTGGTAGATCCTGCGCAAGTCGACCTCTAGCTCGGTGGTGCACACACTCCGTGAGGCTCCCAGTGGACATCCAACCGTCGATAGGTCAGGGATACCAGAAGGAGCATGCCTACTGACTGTTTATGCCAGCCCTTCCACCCCATCAGACTCGGCGCGGTATTTTAAGGGATAGTCGGTGTTACTCTCTCTCCGCAGCCCCCCTAACACTGCCGCCGATGCTGGTCCGTGAATGTTTATTCATAGAAGCAGAAAGTCCGCTTGGCTAGCAGCTAACCGCCGCCCCCCCACCCTCGGGATAAGGGCCCTTTCCTCTGGACGCGTCAGCTAGTCAGCGCCCAGGCTTCTGGAGTCCTACTGTCTCCTACTGATAGTAAACATTCCTCTAATCGATGAGGTACCCTTTGTCCTTCGCTGCTTGTTGCAGTCCTAGAGAAAGTGAGGAGGCCAAAGTCGGTGACCATGAAGTGCTAACTGGGCCTTCGAAATATGTTTTCGAGTAGGAAGAGAGAGAGAGAGGGAGGGGGGGGGGGGGTAATTCGCTTTATTTCGAAATCATAAATCCAAAATTTTCGGCAAAAAGAGCTCCATTCACTATGGGCAGTCAGAAGGTTAATAGGTTACCCAAAATTCAAAAAAAGGCATGATTATTATAGGGACAGTTCATGTGTTAGCTTCTGTATCTCTATCTCTTCACTCGAAAGATACGGCGCCCGTACAGAATCTGGATATGCCGATGGGCGACAGTGAATAAGCCGGAAGCCGTGGCCTTCAATACCGCCCCGCGTCCTCCTCGCTTTAACAAAACATCGGCGTACGACTTTCCAGGCTGGGTCGTGTCTTGGCTTAAAGATTATTTTACTTTCCGCACCGAATTTAGTCCAGTCTGGCAATCGGAAATCTGCGGTCCTTCCCAATGACTGTGGAGCTCTCCAAGGTTCCATTATGTCCCCTCACCTTTTCTCCCTCCACATCGATGATCTAAGATCCCCTAACGACTGTCTTTTGGTTATATATGCTGATGATGTGGTTGTTGGACACCCTCTCAAAAATTGGCCACATCTCCAGTCTCTGAAGGGTGGTCTTAACCATGTCCTAGTACGTTCGGAGGAAAATGGTCTCCTAACGAACAACCGAAAATCAGTTTATTGTATTTTCCGACTGCGGCACCCTTCTAATCCTGAATCATCTGACATCCTTCCTAACGAGGTATACTTTTTTCAGTTACTTTGACGTTACTCTGTCATCAACTCTTTCAATGTCCCTCCATATTGAGTCCCTATTTGCTAAAGTTGGCAAACTTCTTCATTACATGCGTCGTTTACGTTCCTACCGCACACCTCAACCCTTAATCTGGCGATTCATAGATGCCTGCATTCTTCCTCTTATTCTTTATTGTTCACCTGTCATTCTTCCTGCTTTGCTCAAAAAAGATACATCAGTTTGAAAAGGGGCTCTCCGAATGCTCTTTTCTGTCGTTGGTGTTTCTTATCCATTTTAGTCGATATTATCTTCCAACGACATTTCAAGATGGTTAGAAAATTTTCTGGTCGAATTCTAGATGACTTTACCCGTCCCTTGTATTTTGATCGATTACTTAAGTGAGGTGTTGATACTGATTACCTCGCGGCATAATCACGATATATTTCAGGTACGCTGGGATGTTGGCTTTTGAATGCATCTCTTTTCGGCCGCCTAAAAAACTACAATCAATATAAAAATAGTCACATAAGTAGAATGCATTTGTCTATTGATTTTGAATGCCCTTGTACGTTTAAACAAATTTTAAAGAAAGCACATTAAAATATTCCTAGTTTTATGCTAGAAAAAAAGAGTACCTTTCAGTTTTACGAAGTTTCATATTATTAAATTTTTGAAGACTCTGCAATGTCCATTCAGATGGCACCAGACCCGTCTGTATATCAGTGTTTCTCATGAAGTATATAACATAGCCTAAATAAACTGCCATAATCTTATGAGCCCTATATGGTATCTTCCTAATGATATACGGGAATGTATGCACGTTAAATACTCAACTTGTGGACTGATGATCCTAGACGCAAATGCAACGGTGGATCAGACCAAAAACTACTCGGGGACCGAGAAAAACTTTTAGAAAGTAGAATATACATACGGCTTCTTTGTATATAAAAAGTAAAGTGATTTTTTGTCAAATGAATGCAATAATTGATACCTATGTACATGCTTCCTATAAAATATATTAAAATCGTCGAAAATCAGCGGGAAAAATATACAACTTAAGTGGAAACTGTTAGTAAAGGCTGTTTTTACAAGCAACTGAGAAGAAGTATACTCAACTGGCATCATGATGGTCTGATTGGGATATCTTACGATTATTTTGAACGATAATCAATATTATGGTCCCACCCATATAATCTACACTAATAGAAAACGCATTTAGGAATTTCGCCCAACATTCCACGAGATCAGCCGCTGGCTGTTCCGGAAGCAGGAGTCTCGACTATCCCGTCTGTATACTCCCTAACCGGCCAGGAGGAGAGAATTTTTAGAAAAAGAAAAGACCCAACCGGGTTGATGGAGACTGGCAAAAAAACATACACTGTGAAACCGTGAAGGCAAAAGTCGACAGAAGCCTTTCAGCAATTGCCTGGACTTTTAGTTAGAACTTGACGGTTCGACCGTCATACACCTTGCCCCGTAGCAAGGTGAGAACAGGCAGGGTGACTTGCGCCTGAATTAGTTTATTGTGACCGTAGACTTTCGTTGCATCTACCGCACTCCACCCTCCCCTCCACCGCCTGGGCTCGATGTCAAAAAGACCAAAGGCGAGAGGGGGCGCAGGTGGCTGGCGTACCACCACATCCCCTAATTCACACAGCAAACACTTAACCTGGATTTCAAGGCCTGGATTCCAGGCGTTGGTGGCACGCCCAGGTGCGGCTTCGGCCGTGCCAGCCTCCAAATCTCTCTTGCGTTGGTTGAAATCCTGGTTATTTGTTGTGTGGGCCAGGGGGTGTGGTGGAACGCCAAGGGGAGGATCCGTCCGAGCCATCCACCTGCGGTCTCTCTCGTCAGCGGTCTTCTTGACACTGTCTTGACACCGGGCTCAGGTGGGGGAGGAGGAGAGAGTGTAGGTAGATGCTACGCAAGTCTACCGGCACTATAAATCCCTGCGTAAGTCACCGTCCCTGCTCCCATTGCTACTGCAGCTGTGGGGCACACGGTGGACATCGTCGGATGCGACGATCGAACTGTCATACCCAGCGAGAGCGCAAACGCATCTACCGGCAGCGAAACAGGTTTCAGAGAACTGCCAGCGCATACCAGGCTACAAGGGCTATGGTTTGCTGATCATGGCATAACAGATATTTGCATAAACTCAAACTTGGTCCGCAACCTCTCGTCTAAGCAGCTAACAGAGCAGCAACTACGAGTGTTGCAGCATGAAACGTGTCTCAACACTGCAGATGCCGATCCTGTCGACTTCATTGCAGCCCTGGAAGCTATGCTTGTGAGAAGTGAAACATCCGACGACATGAAACACTCCGTCTGACAGCGTGTTACCTCCTTGCTGATGACACACAGACCAACCAAATGTATTTCGCAGAGTGAGTCAAAGGCTATGAGGGAACTGAGGAGGGACGACAGCATTATCACTCTACCTGCTGACAAGGGACGATCAACCGTCGTGATGAATAGAGAAGACTGTAATGAAAAGGCTAAAGCCCTTCTTGATGACAGAGAATTTTACAGACCAACACAGAAGTCACAAGTCAAAGCAGTGGCAGATCGGCTGAGTAAACTGCTTAGAGAATACCGACATAAAAAATGTGATCAAGGAGAATGAATGGCACCAAATGAGAGCAACTGACACCGCTCTAGCCCGATTCTATGGTCTGCCAAAAATCCATAAAGCAAATGTCCCACTTCGGCCAATCGTTGCCCTAAAAGGCAGCCCCACCTACAATTTGGCAAAGTGGATGTACTCAAAATTGAAGTTCCTCCAAGGCACTTCGACTACGTCAGTTCGATCAGCCTCTCAATTCCTCATAGACCTCCGAGGTCGGAGAATTCAATCGGACGAAATCATGGTCTCCTTCGATGTGACGTCGTTATTCACATCCATCCCACCAAAACTGGCCCGCCAAGTCTTGCACAAGAGACTTGAAGAGGCGTACGATGAGACCCAGATTGCACTACAAAATTTAAAAAATCATGAGCCCTTTTGAATTTTTCCAACAAACTTTCTTCACTTTTGCGGGAGAGACCTATGAACAAATCAAGGGAACCCCAATGGGCTCACCGGTCTCCGGTTTGGTGGCAGAACTGGTCCTACAGGAGTTGGAAAAGATTGCCTTCCTCCAACATGAACCGGTGTTTTGGCGACGTTACGTTGACGACACGTTTGTCATCGTAAAGAAGGACATGCTGCAACATTTTCACAGCCTGCTCAACGCAGTCTTCCCGAATATAAAATTCACGAGAGAAGAAGAACAGGAGCAGCAGTTGCCCTTCCTGGATGTGCTCGTCAGACGAAACCTTAACGGTGAACTTGAAACGACGGTTTATAGGAAGGCAACGAACACCACACAGCTTCTCAGTTTTTACAGCAACCATCCGGTGGCTCACAAACGAAGCTGTGTGAAGACGCTCTTCAAACGGATCCAAACTCATTGCAGCAAGCTGGAAGATAGAGCGCGTGAGGCCCGTTATCTCCGCGACCAGTTTGTGCAAAATGGCTATCCGAGGGCAGTAATAAGTCGCTGCCTACGCGGTCACCACCAGAGAACTCAAACATCAACGCCACCGACGATATGGCATTCTCTGCCATACATCAAGGGTGTTTCAGAAGCGACCGAGCGCACTGCTGCGGAGCTAGGGGTTGGAATTGCACACCGCCCCAAAGCCACCATGCGCAACAGGGTCATGAAAATCAAAGACCGGTTAAAACCTGAAGAGCAATCTGGAGTAGTGTATCGCATTCCGTGTCAAAATTGTCCTTGTAACTACACAGGACAGACTGGACGCATGCTCGGATCGCGCAGACATGAACATAAGCTGGCTGTACGGCGAGGCGACGCACTATCACAAGTGGCCGTCCACACCTACGAAATGGGTCACGAGTTTGACTTCGCAGCCACCAAAATAGTCGCCCACGCCGGAAACAAAACAGGCCGAGAATTGATTGAAGCCTGGGCCTCGAATGAGAACTCGGTCAATCGATTTATCGATCTGGCGCCGGCGTACAGAGCCCCTCGTAGTCACCTCCAGTCATGCGACATCGGTCGATGATTGGGTCTAAGTGCCTTATAACTGCCGCTTGTCCTGTTTCTGCCACTACCTCTGACGATGGACTCCTGTATGAGTCTGAAAGCTCAGGATAATAAACGAATTGTTCCGGCGCTCGACTCTTCTTCTTCTTCTTCTTCAGATATTTGCATAACTTGAGGCCAGTTAGCACTTACAGTAGGGGGAGGGGGATAACTCATGAAACGTCAGCCGAAATTCCGCACTGTCTTTTCGTAAAACTGACAGTCATGCAGCATAATTCTATAATAATTCTGTTACCTCAAGATGCCGGCTTTCGAACAAACTTCTTGATGACTGCATGCAGAAACCGTTCTCAGTAGAAAATGGCTACTCAATTAGCATGCATTTTTCTCTCATTTATTTTCGATGCCCTTAAAAATCCAATTATATTTCATGGAAAAACGTGCATAAAAATTCATTCTTTTGCTCATTCAGTAGGAAATTACGTTTTTTTCCAATTTGATACTCGAAGGAGGGGTATAAATTAGTTTTAAAAAGTTTCTAATTATTAGATTTTTAATGCCAGGAAATAGCTGTTCATAAAACTTCATGTCTCTGCATTTACCAATGTGGCTTGTTAAGTAACAAAATGGCTCAAATCCACCGCAGAATTTTATGAACCCCATGTAATCCCCTCTTACTACCGTAGCAACGTGTCTGGTTTTCTGTACGCGGAAAATATACGGCCTGTATTTTGAAAAACCTGAATGCAGGTGTAATAGCAGGTCGGGGTTCAGAATTATCGGGAATTGGAAAAGTTTTTGAACATCGAACTATATCCTTCTTTCGAGTATAAAATTGGATGAAGACGTAATTCTCTATCACAAGAGTGATAGAATGAGTATTTTTGTGTTCTCCATGAAACATAATAGCATATTTAAGGGCATCGAAAATCAGTGAGGAAAAATACCGGCATCCGGAGGTAACTGAATTATTATAGAATTACGCTGCATGATGATTAGTGCTACAACCCTATTTTTTCGAAACGAAAAGGCACTGCGGAATTCCGATTGACATTTCATGAGTTAGCCCACCTCCTGTACGTACATTGAGTAACAGATCTCATAAAATTTTGACCGAAATTCTAAAATGCGTTTTCGATTAGAAGCGACTACTTGGGTGGGACTGTAATACTGATTATTATGTGGCATAATTTTATAGTATTTCGGACTCTCCAATATGTCTTCTTTTGAATGCACTCCTTTTTGACCTCCTATAGAATCCGTGTCCGGCGAAGAATGACTACCTATATAGCATGCTTTTTTCACACTGATTTTCAATTGTCCTGTATATTCAAATATGTTTTATAGAAAGCATGCATAAAACCGTGCTTTCTTTTACTCTTTTGGTAGGAAGTTATATTTTCTTTACATCTTATACCCTACGAAATGTTATCTTTCGGTTTTAGAAAAGTCTATTATGATGAGATTTTTAAAACCATGCGATCTCCATTCACACAGTATATTACTTGTCCGTTTACCAATGCTCCTCATGAAATGTACAGCATAATCCGCATCCGTAGCAAAATTTTACGAACTCTATATGATGTCTTTTTAAAGGCATAGAGGAATATAAAAGTTTGCTCACGCAGTAAGTACACACTTTGTAGACTGAAATCGCTAAACGCTAATAAACCCTCTGATCTGGCTCAAAAGTATTCGGAAATTGGGAAACTTTTTTCAAAACCTAAGTATGCACTTTCTTCGGGTATAAAATGTGAAAACAATGCGATTTCCTACCAAACGAGCAAAAGAAAACATATTTTATATGCATGTTTTCTATAAAATATATTTGAATATATAAAACCATCGAAAATAAATGAAAAAGGTGCATGCCATTTAAGTATTAAATTTTGCCGAGTGTGGTTTCTGCAGGAGGGCGAAAAGGAGTGTATTTAAAAGCCGACACCCTGGAGAGTGCTAAATACTATAGAAATATGCCGCATGATAATCAGTATTACAATCCCACCCAAGTGGTCCCTCTTAATCGAAAAGGCATTTTAGAATTTCGGCCAACATTTCATGAGATCGGTCACTCACTGGTTATTAGGATCAGACGACCGATCGGCTCGGACAGCAGCCCGGTGTCTGTGTGAGGGTAAAGGAGTGAGGTCGAATCGGGGGACTGCGCTCAACTCATTTTCCTCATCTGACGCACTTCTCGAACTATTACTCGCCGCATAAAAAGCCGTGCCATGGAAGGATAACTCGGTCCTTCTCGTAGGAGGGAGAGTCAGGCTACAATGCCTCCTTCTTAATGTGGACTTCCATTCTGCTGGGGCCCGAGTCCTCCCTTTTTGTTTCGGTGTGATCACCGCGCTTTGTGGCGTGTGTGTGGCGCGCGCAGACGGGTACCCTACCCAGCCACTGCGTCCGATCCCACCGCCGGTCCTATTGACTCTGTCATGACACCGAACGCAAGTTTTCAATCATTGCAAATTTAAGCATGCGCAAGGTACCGTCTCGGCACCTACATCGTCGTTAACGGCGACCGCACTGTCATATGGTAGTGGCGTTTTCCTCACTCATCTGACACTATCCGTAATATTAATAAAAACACTGAATAAGTCAGATTATGAGCAGCAGGAAACTTTTTTTCCGGGCTGGATCGGCGCTATCACGAGAGCATTCCCCGCGGCAAATTTACGCATATGTTTCACAAACTCTCCCCTCCTACGTTTGGGAGATAAGGACAGACTACCGTTGGAGGCCAGATCAATGTACATCTACTTGTTCACTTGCTCCTTGGCCGTACAACAAGACGCCTGGTAAAGAGGGTGCGTAAACATATGACCGCCTGGTTAGACAGAGGTGAGACCCGATCGATTTCGAGTTCTATTTTCGCACATTTAATCGATACTGATCACCGAGCCGATGTCAAGGAAGCATTTTAGTTTGTCGATCGTGCACCAACAAGCTTCTCTAAAGGCCTACGCCAACGGATTCTAGCAACGGCCGAGGCAGTGGTTATACGGCTAGAGAATCCGGTGTTATGTTGTCAAGATACCCTGACAGAATCGCTGTCTCTCTGCCGTAGCCAACACCAACCTCAAGTGATGACGACATGCCGCCTCAAATCCCTAATTACAGTGATGGGTACTCTGTGTACTCAATCCAAGAACATCACTCAAAGACTCTCTTACCTCCCTCCCCTAGCTCTGAGGACCAAAACCCGCCAACCCCGTCATGCGGATGGCGTGGGGAAGATGAGTGTTAATGACTAAATAGCCCTTGAGACGCATAAAAATGCTGATAATTTTGTACATTTTCACTCCTTCATGTGACTGTACTGGTCTGACGAAGAATTACCGAAAACACGTGTTTGCCAACTTGACTTTTCAAGTGTAACATGGGAATATTTGCGATTTGAGTTTGTTGAAATTACCCATATGTTTTGTTTTGCTTGGAATCCCAACTGGAATGAGAAAAGCAAATGCGCTTCAGACCTTGAGTTTTTCAGCACCAAACGGCGACGAAACGTTCTCAACCGCCCATCCCCATCAATACCATAAATTGGCAGTTTTTCAGCCTTTGCTGTTTTATCGTGACAGGTGTGATGATAAAAACCGAAAACGTACGTGTGTCGATCCCAGACATTTAACGTCACTAGGGAGTGACGATCAGCACTATGACTTGACTTCAAAACGCCTTGCCTCGCAGCACTCATTCGATAGTTTGCCTTAATTACGACCTCCCAGTGGTGATAACGAGGGCTGTTAATTGTAGTACGCATGTCGCCTCACGGCAGTTACGTACTATAAATACTGCAGTCTTTGTGTCTCCACTACCTTTTTCTGCAACCGTCTCTGATGATGGGTTCTAGTAATAATCCGAAACTTCAAGTCAATAAACTTCTTGCACTGATCGCATCATTATCATCTTCTTCTTCTGAACTGCCTCCTGGAACTCGCCTGTTAGTTTCGATCGGCAAACTCTCCATTCCTGTCTCCTGATGGTTACATGACCTTACCACATTTTCCCGAAGTCCACAGTATGCTACGCGGACGACATCCGACCATGCTGTTTCCGGAGAACGCTGGGACCGTACACACGACGTCGTCAAAGTGGTGTCTCGTAGAGTCTCGTTAGAATCTACAAGGTTTTTCATCACGGTAATGAAAATAATTTTACAACTTTACGTGGAGAACAGATAATTCGCAGGGATAAGGGAGACCGGGGAGCACATTTCCAGCATATTTGTTTGTGGAAAGGGTGAGAATGACAAATACTCATCACTGGCCGCCTTGAAATCAATTCCTGCGTTTCACTGTATCACATGAACGCGGCAACCGCAAGCATCACTCCAACGACATTAGTGAGTGATAATCATTATCCCTACCAGAAGGACAATAGCAGAACTAACCACTAATAATGTCAGCCTGCAGTAACACGCACATTCTCAAACTGCGCATTTTCTATTGAGTTCTAATTCGTTCAAGTACTGAATTTTGCCCTTATAACCATGTTACGGTTAGCTGCGGTTAAATTGGTAGATGGGAAATCACCGATCGTGTTACGGAGCTCATTCGTCCCGTCGTGTCTTAGGGCTCTCTCTTGAGCCCCACCAACAGTCTCACAGCGGCAGAATAGCCCTACTGACAAAGGCAAGGAGAGACGAGGATGTGATCACCCAAACAAGAAATTTGTTGGTCTGGCGTTTTAGATTCTCACTCGAACC